TCTCTCTTTTTTTCTCCCTCTCTCTCCCTCTCTCCCTCTCCATATTTATCTCTTCCCCCCCCCTCCCTCTCCTTTGCTCACCCAACTGCGAGCCCGCGTCGAAAGCCCTCCCGCTCGTGATCCGGTATCGGGAACTTGAGCATGACGAGGAAGGACATCATGCGGGTGGTGCTCGCGTCGCCGGGCTCGTCCTGCTCCGACATCTGCTGCGGGTCGATCGCCGTGAAGATCTCGTTCAGCTGCTGGAGAAGGTCCGCCGGCGATTTCTCGTCGAAAGTCACCTGCAGTCATCATCAGTATCGTCACCATCGTCGTTGGTGATGGTAGTGGTGGTGATGGTGTTGTGTGACGGCAGCCGCAGCGGGGTCTCCCGATCGTGCCAGCGGTCGGAGGCCTATGTGTACTGGCAAGGCCGGAGGTGGTGCTGGTGCTGGTGCTAATGCTACTGCTGTGCTGCTGCTGCTGCTGCTGCTGGGGCGGAGGCGAAGTCCGGGGCGGCCATCGCTCCAAGCAAGAAGTTTACGGTCCTAAGTAGTTCGTACGTAGACTTTGTGCTACCGACACCTCTCCGGCAGGCGAACGTCGTGGTGGATATGTCAAGCTAATTAATTCATACCATATATAGGAACGTCATCGTACGTCGGTTCGCTAGAAAACAGTGAAGGAATTTTTTAAGTTCTTTAGTGTTTATTTAATTTTGTTGTAGCATGTGCGTGTACAAAAATCGAAATCTGTGGTGATGCTGCTGCAGCGACTGAGCGATTCACACAGCCTCCCACTGCTGTACAGCCGTCATGCACCCTTCTACGTGTGTGTCATTGCAGGTCACGGCTGAATACCCAGAACAAAGCTTGCCTTATAACAATATTGGCGTCCGGGGTACAGCCAACCCGGACTGCTGCGATACACGCTGCTGTGTGATACACACAGGCTCCATTGTTGCGGGGGCAAGCAGGCACTTCGACCTTCTACATATGTGCCACTGCAGGTCACGGTGACAAATCGACCGTGAAAACAGAACTCGTCGACGTGCGTGGCCGCAAGAGATGTGTATGCACTGCAGCCCCATTCGAATCGGCGTCATCAGGGATACACCGACTGCGGCGCGATACACACTGCTGCATCACACTACCGTGTGACGCACACAGCCTCCCACTGCTGTACAGCAAAGCAAGGCATGCACCCTTCTTCGTGAGTGTCACTGCAGGTCACGGTGAGACAAGTCGACCGTAAAAACAGCACTTGTCGACATGATGAGATGAACGACCGCATGACACGCAAGACTGCTGAACATAATCAATCAGATTTTGGTGCGCAGACCACAACAAGGGTAAAACGTTACAGCAGTTGTATGACAATCGGTTGGACGTGCTGTCAGCATGGACGTGTCGATGTCACAAGCGGTGAAACAGAAGTGGTGCACGGGTTGTTGGAGCGATGCACGTGAAGGTAGACGGTTATATTTGTTGTGCATCACATCGATACACATGCTGGGGCTCCACGCACAGACAACGTCCCGGCTCCAAACTAAGTCATGCACTGCAGTGTCACAAAATGGCGCATATCTGCTCTGCAGCAGTGAGAGACTGTGCGTATCGCTCAATCGGTGTTTTACAGCTTCACCCCTAACGTCGATTTTTAGGACACAGCTGGGTATCATGCACATCTTCAGACTTCAAAGAAACACTCCGGAGGGGCCCGTAATGCCAAGTACTACACTGTAAACTATGGATGGATGTGGTCTACATTGTACCGCAGTAATTTACATAGTTGTCGGGTAGCCGACACACACAGTCGTTGGCACATCAACTCCACAAATGGTCTGTGCACAAAAAGCAGTCTACACACACAGGGGGGAACGTAAGAAGTCGCAGGCGGAGACACTGTCATTGTTAGCTTCGGCACAACAATGCTGGTACTGCTGTAGTCACATTGTATAAGGGTGTCCACAACACACAGAGGAGAGAGAGAGCTTTCGGAGATTTACAAACAACAATGGGCACCACCGCCGTGCTTCCTGGTGATGATGAAGTCATAGACTACAGGCGCGAGAGGTTCGAGCGGCAACATTGCACTTCGAGATAATGTTGCCCAAATCTCTACCCTAGGGCAGAAACGTGCTCGGAAAGGCAAGGCGCAACGGCTGACGAACCAAAGCACCCCATACTCTCTCTCACCAATCGCAGATCTTTGCTGAAGGGGGGCTCGTTGAGCTTATCCACGATGAACTGGATCTCCGCCATGGTACAGCTGGATGGCGCACACAGCAATTCCAAATGCAGTTACTTGGATATTGGATCCACCAAGCGAAGCTCCGCTACAGATGAACTTGGATCGTACGGATGTTACCCGCCCCCCCCTGAAGTCCCCCCTTTTCTCCCGGGAGGCCTGCGTGTCGGATGTGATTGACTGATGATGGACCTCGCCGCGCGCGAGAGAATGCGGCGGAACTTGCGACTGCATAATCCCGCCGCGTTTCGGTTTCAGTTTCGCGAATTACCGTCTCACCGTTCACCGTCTCACCATCTCAAATGTCTCTCTTGTTCGCTGGTCCGCTGTGTTCGCTCGCTGGGCTTGTTCCTTTGTTTGACGTATGACACTGCTACTGTTCCGGCTATCTACACGTACATCAAGTCGCTATCTACATGTGTATCAAGCTGTTTTGTTCGCAAACGGCTGGGATCCGGTGACCACGGTGCGAAAGAGAGTAAATGTCTCGTGGAAGTCCTAAGGGTTCGGGACACGATACAGTTCGAACGCTCTCACTTCTCGCTCCCTGTAACCGATCAAACCAGCCCTCGGTGCCCCTACAAGTAGTCACATTGGTGTTTCGAATTGGCCGCACCACTCAGGGTGTTGATGCGCCAGTCCTGAATGAAAACGCCCACAATCTCAATACGATGGCCCTGGTAGAGGAGATCGCTGAGAAAGAAATGTATTCTCCTTCCCTTCAACCTCCATCCAGCCAGTTGCAACGGCAGAAGAAGTCGAGAAGCGGTTTGATCTGCACACTTGCATGGCAGATCTTGTTGAAGTACGGCCAGCGGTGGGACTCTCGATATGAGACAAGGTAGATCGAGTCGTCAGGATTCGCCCTAGGGTGCATGTATCTCCGTGTGGTATGTATGTAACGATCGATCGATGTCCAAGTTAAACGGAAACCGAGGACGTCGAACTTCGCGTTTTTTCTCCAACAACGTGTTTTCCACACTCACATCGACCCCACCCCACTCCCCAGAAGTGTCCACAGGCACACATCATACGGTACCAGCGCCTTCCTGCTGTGCCCTTTTTGATACAAAACTCTCTTGGATCGACGCGCTTTCAATTTTCAAACCCCGCACGCAGCAAATGGTAACCTGAACACTGCAGTGTCGTTTCGCAGCACATTCTAAACTCTTGCATGTAACCGGCGAACCTGGGCCCAATCCCAATTCACACAGCACGTTCCACGACTCCTACGTTCAAACTCTAGATATGTACATCCGACGCCACAACTTTGCCCTGGTTCTCGGGAAAACCACGGAGAAGAAGCCCTTCGGCAATAAACGCCTCTTCGATAGAAAACCGCACACAACAAACGCAAAGCCACGGTCACTGTCGCACCAGACTGTCAATTTTGCACCACAACACCACCACTAGCACGAACACCACACAAGACAACTTAGCAGCACACCCCCCACCTCGAAAACACACCCTACAACACGCACAGAGTTTACTCACACGACTAAACACATCAGCCAAGGCTGCTGCAGCATCCCCCCCCCCCCCCGCCCCACGCGCCCCATCATCACGTTGACGTACAATGTTCCACAGCAGCACCATCGAAGCCACCCAAGCTGGCAATCCCTCACCGCACCGAAGGTTTCAATTGGAAGGTTTTAAGAAAACCCAAGCTTGAGACCAGACCAAGTGACCCTTGAGAAACACACGCGGTGCTCATTCACGGAACCATCAGAGGACCCGCACAGCAATTGTATCGGGGGTCTCCATGCTACTACATTTGTTTCCGTTCCCCGTTTCCTGCGAAAAAGTTCTCCGACTTGTACTGGTTGCTTGTGGCTACTCAGAGACGCACACGTTGGCCTTGGGGAATTTTTCCTGGCTCTTGCACCCCTACTTTTTTACACAAATCTCCTACGTTGGCATCGGTGGCACGGACGGAGGTAAGCTTCAATTATCCACCTGGCCCATCACTGCCGCCGCTCCCCTGCCCCCCTGGGTCGCGTCAGAGGCACACAGGCGAGTGCTCGCTCCCAGTACCTACACCGTTGTTGCCCTCCGCGCTAGAAGCAGCAGTGGCAGTGCTGCCGCTCCCACCTGCCACAACCTCTCTCTCGCCCCCGCCCACAGCAAATCTCGTGTCAGCAACGCTGCGGCGAAGGGCCTCCTGCAGGTCGGGGTCTGCGCTACCATCGTAGTTGGCTGCGCCTGCTCCCCCCCCCCCGGCCGCCGCCGCCGCTACCGAGCCCCCGCTCGCATCGAAAACGCCCCTGCTAAGGCAGATCGCTTGCTGCACCTGGTCCTCCTCGCGAAAAAATACTTCCGCCTGCTGCTGCATCATCATCTGTTGCTGCTGCTGCATCTGCTGCTCCGCGTTTTCGTAGTAGGAGCCCGCCTGAGGAAGAGCGGGGGTGATACGTACGTGTGAGATTCTCAGAGCGTCCCCAGATTCGACAAAAAAAACGAAAAGAAAGGGGGCTCGCAGAGAGCGAGATGCGGAAAGGGACGAGAAGCAACCCGCGACACCGATTTCCTGAGAGTGATACTTCGAAACGGGGGATATCTTTGCACACGAACCGTGCTTACCCTGAAGTTTTGCTTCGTACATTAAAAACATGCGTCTTTGGGCTCACAAACTCCCACCATCGTCTCTCGCGACATTTCTTCTTGGTTTTGGTGCAGGCTCTTGCAATGCTATGGTCGGACACCGCTAGGCAGGTTTGATCCTGTTTGATCTGAGCGAAACCTGACAAGGTGCCAACAAGTTTACCCGTTCTGCTGTCGGAAGCCGTCACCCCAACCCCACGTCTCTCTTTCATTTACATCATCATCTCCGATAGAAGGGAGTCGAACTGTGTGAGCGCAGATTTGATCAAAACAAAGAAAAAATGCACCCCAAAGACCTCAAGCTTGCCTCCGCCATCGGAATCGCCTGATGCTGTGGAAGCGCCTCCTGCTGGTTGTGGGATGCCGGTCCCACTCCCTTCCTGTCCTTCGGCTCTATCCAATCCATCCCAAGGGCGCTGAACACATCTTCCTCTCGAAGGCAGCTGGATGGAATACAACGTTTGTCAAGGAAAGGGAAGAAGAGGAGGAGGGCCGGGGTGGGTTGGGCAGTTACCCTTTCCGCATGGTTGGCTTGCCCGCGGGAGGCGACTTAAGGAGGAGGTTGACTCCTTTTTGGTGGGGGTTGATATCGTGTGGCAACATCTTCGATGGTGAAATAAATTTCTGCCTCTCTGCGGAAGCTAGCTCCTTATCAGCAGCGGCAGCTGTGAGGAGGGGTAAGTGTCGTTCACTCATCTAAAATTGGGTGACATCCACCAATTATTTGACTACATAGTGGTCTCGCTCTCCACCTGCAGCAAGAGTGTGTGGGGGGAGGGGGGTCGTGGCTGACACAACGGGAAGAGGACACAGCAGTGATACATGAGTGCAAGCGCTGGCTACATAACTGTACACGCGATGCCTTCTTCAACCTTGGCAGCAGTGCACCCTTGCGAGACATCTATTGTGGTCACTTCCATCTCTGAAGGCCGATAGAACGAGGTGCTGCCGGCTCGTGTATTACTCCTGCTGCTACGCTGGGAGACAGCTGCGGCTGCTGCTGTGGCAGACATTTAGGTCGAACCTGTAGCCCGAGTTGGGCACTTCCTCGCCGCTGAACGGGTCGACCTTGAACAGCCCCTTGTCGTTCAGCTTGAGCCCCTTGCTCTTGGCGAAGCAGCGCATGTTCATGTTGAAGTCGCCCGACCCAGTGAAGTACAGGACGGCGAACGCGAACATTGAACTGCCGCGGGGGAGGCAGTGAACGCAAAAATGAAACAGAACGCAAGGGGGTTTCATGAAGTTGTAGCCGCTGTTCATACGGATGAGCACGTGGTTGTTCGGCATGTCTCTTAGAAGTAATACCTATTCCAAACATCGTTAGCAAGCACACTACAGGCGCCATGTTCCAAGCAGAATTTCTCACCCATAAAAAAAAAATGGACACGGTGATTGCTAAACCGAGCGCCTTATCCTCCTGTAGACCTTGGTGCTCGAGTGACAAAAGATTGACTCTTCACCACATTTCATTAATTTCTCATGCTACTCCTCTACAGTCGTTTCTCCCACAAGGGCGTGAGTGGGGAGTGTTGTACTCCAGTACTCTTTTGATTGATGCAAACAACGGTGCCACCACTACCGTCACGATCACATCACAAGGCGCCGCCATAACGTTCACCATCGTCGCAAAACGACCACCAACCACACCCCTCAACACGCACGTGGGGTAGAGCTTGACGTCCAGCCGGCGGTGGATCTGGCCCTCGCCGGGCAGCTTGCAGACGCCCATGAAGGTCTGCGGCTTTCCGGGCGTGTAGGGTCCCTCTGGCATGGCAAGCCTGTCCGTGATGAACCCGGTCTCCGTCAGCTCCTTGATCAGCTCGAGGAACATTGGAGAGTCCTGAGCGGCGGGGAGTTGGGAGACAACAGAGGCGTTTTGTTGTGGCCTCACGTAGAGGAGGGGGGGGGGGAGTGTACTCATCCCCGTGCATGCCCTATAATATTCGTTAGACCATTGACCTAACATCTCCACAAAGCCGGGACGGAGCACGCCGGGTTCTCGCCGGACCAGGCTCTCACATCACCAAGGCGCGTATGCGTCGAGGGGGGAGGGGAAGAAAACAACAGAACAGGCAGGCCGAAGAGCGAAAGGGAAGGGCAAGAGAAATAAACCGCCCGTGTGGTGAGGCTGTAGTCACTCCGAGAGCCCCTCCGCCCGATCGCTGTTAAAGAACTTGGGGAGTCGGGCATGTCTGTTGCTCAACCCCCGTCCAGGTAAGGGAGGGCCAGAAAAGCGCGGTGGATCTCCTCCGGTCAACCTGCAATTTTGCGTCGTAAGACTAGGCCGGCCCCTCGGTTGGTAGGAGATACCTCCTTTGAACACGGTGAGGTATAACCCGCACACTCACCACTTTTCGATGCAACGGTCGCCTTGGAAATCGTAATTTGCTACCTAACGGCGCCGTTCCAACGACACTTTACACGGCGCCGTTAAACTCAGCGACATTTTCTATTCTATCCCTCACAGCAAAGACCTCAACCCATCCCCTTCGACTGTGGGTATATCTCGAACGGGTAGTGTATGAATATTTCTAAAAAGAGAACCCCGTGTGCAAGGCCTTCTTGATGCGCACCTCTTGTCCCTCAGGAGGTCGGATGAGCACGTCCACGTCACCGCAGTTGCTCTTGCCCCTCCTATAGCTCCCGCAGGCCTGCACGGTGACAAGCGACAAAGAGGAGTGCGGAGGGAAAAAAAACGGGCTGGAAAACACGCACCAAACAGGAATAAAGACCAACTAGTCGAGTCAAAAATGCGTGACACGACCACGTTATCCACCCCTCCCACAAACCCCTATCAGGCATTCACAAGATCAACTTGAAGATGTCTCTGGCGAGCCTGTTGCACACATATAGGGCAATCACGGCTACAGAGGGACTATGTCACCGCATGCACAAACGAGGATCGTGGGTGCCAGGTACGCTTGAAGATGGTGTGTAGGTCATTCACACATTGTACAAGCAGTACTTGCCGAGTTTTCTGGATCTTCGTCCCACACACAAGAAAAACAGAAAGGCGAGATGGGAAGCATCCTCCATCTGCTACACCGTGTGATCCCGGAGAGAATTTCATACAACACAGTAGCCGCGGAAAAACCACCACGCAGAGCAGTTCCAGGACCTATGCATAGGTGAACCACACCAGACAAAGCGAGGTCTAGACGTGTTTTAAGAGGTCTTGCTTGATTTGACTTCCTTCTTTCTCGAAATCGAAACCTCCGTCCGTATGCGAGATGAGGTCAAAATCTTGCCTGGCAGATGACTCCCGGGCAGATGCTCTGGGCAACCTTCGTTACCGCCGCTTCGATCTCAGCAGCCTCGGACCGCGGCATGCGCTGCTTGATGTCCTCGTGCCTGGGGCGGGCGGGGGTACGCAACGTTAAGGGAAAGGATGGGACACGAGGGAAGTGTCAGGCTAAGAACGACAAGTGTGTCAACCAGGAGTGCCCAAGTACCGTTTACAAACGGCGCAACTTTACACCTGACGAGAGCGGGGAGGGCAAAAAACCGCCTGTCGACGCAAGCGGGACGACGCGCAAGATGACGCACACGCGCGGGCAATATCCTTGGCCTCGCACACCGCTGCCCGAAAGGCCGTCGGGGTCCACACAAAGATGCATCACATCACATCAAAGCCTTAGCCGCCCTACTACTACCTGTTGAGGCAAACCCGCATCTGCTCGGTGAGGAGGTCCCTCCCGCTGGTCCTGAGGTCCTCGATCGAGCGCATGCCCTTGTCGTACAGCTGCCTCGCCTTGACGGCGCCCACCCAGCCGACCTCCTGGAAGAGCTTGAGGCAGGCCTCGGGCGCGGGGGGGTCCGCCCCCGAGACGGGGGCGCGCGACTTGCCCTTGCCCTCGGCTAAAAAGGCCGTGAGCTCCTTCATCGCACCATCCCCGACGCCTCTGACTCGCTCGGGGTCGTTCTTTCTCAGGTCCTGCGAGAGGGGGAACAACCCGCGAGCACGCTGTCTTTCCTGAGCTAGTACACTTACATGGTGCAACCCAACGGTAAAGGAATAAGCTCGAACTTGGCCAGTGCTATCATACGCCGTCAGCAAAACAGCCCGAAGACACACCACACCCACAAGGACGACCGCAACCCCGCGCCATTATGCTCTCAGTCGTAGCAGTACACCGGAGCACGAGCAGGCGGTATCAGCGAGTTGGGAGAAACGAGAGTATGCCCTCGGAAGCAGCACCGGAGAAACTATCGATGTTTCTCTTCCTTCAAGGTCATCACGAACTGCCCTCGGCTTCACGGCGAAGCGAGGCGCTCCTTCTCCTTTCCTCTCTCTTCTCTCCTTCCCTTTCAAGAACGTGACAACAAAATTTCTCACGGAGGCACCACACGGTGGCGGTGGTTGCATCGCATACACGCATGGCAAACCGAAGCATCCCGTACCGACCACCATCCCCTTATCGGCGAATCGAAACGCCCTCGAATTACGCCAACAACAACAACAACAACAACAAAATCAGCAACAGCAACGTCTTGAGCCCATTTCACACCTTGAGCTGCTCTATGTCGGTGATCTGCGTCCCAAGCATCCTGAGCGCCGCTGCGGCGCTCTTGAAACCCCTCTCGTTGAAGACGCTCCCGTCGCCGCCGCGCGTCGCGCAAAGCTCGGCCAGGCCGTCCAACATATCGGCGGCTTCCTTGTTCGGTGACTGTCGCAAAAAAAAAGGCATCGTTTCTAGCTTAGGAGAAGGACGACCGTGCATTTAGAGCTCGCTACGTCTACATCGAAAACTTGCATCACTCCATCATCTACACCCATTGCAAGGGGAACGCCAGTAGATACCGACACGCCCATCATTTTCCACTCTCTCACGGGGGGGGGAAGACCGTACGCAAATCGAAACAGCGTTTGTACTCTTGCGCCAATCGTTCAGCTATTTTCTCACCTGGGGCCCCCAAAAGCTGCTCGGTTGCCCTTGAGACACCCGTCTCATGTCCACGTTGGGCTTCCTAGCGCCAACCTCCCCCTCCAGATTCATCAATCTCGCCGCGGCGCCACGGCCCGACGGGCTTCCCCTCGCCGCGTCCCCCCGCTGGTTTCTCGTCGCCACCAGACCACCGGTGGTCTGGTGGCCCCCCGATGTCAATATCCTCTTCTTGCCTGTTGCAGCAGGCGAAGCGGAAGAAGAGCAACCCTCCGCCGCAGCGTTTGTTTCCGTGGTAGCTGTGCTCGACCTCTGCTGCTGCTTCGGTGCGACTGTTGCAGGCGCCGCACAGTGGTGCAGCGGTGGGGTCAACCGGTACGCTTCAGCGGTCACCACCTCGGAGCGCCTCAAGCACTCGCTCATCCACTCGCTGCTCACGACAGGCACCCCGTCAGGCATCCTGCCCCTGCCTGCCGTCGCCGCGCCATCAACAACGTCCTCGAAGTCGTCCCACCCGCTGAAGTAGTCATCAAGCTTCTCCCAGGAAGCGGCAAGCGAGGCATCGGCCACGATATGGGTCGTGTCCCCGGGCGTGTAGTGAGTCGATACCTGCCCTCCGCCGTCGCGAAACTCCCGCGTGAGTGTCCCTACGGTGTTGTTCGTCACCGAGCCTTGGCTAACCACGCAGAGAGACAACCCAGAGAACGGCCCGGACGCCGCGCCCGCTCTCTTCCACGGCCTCTTGTTGGTTTCGATGCCCCCGTTGTCGCCGCTAGCCCCGCCGCGCGGCCGGTTCTTCCGTTTCGGACTCGGCGCTGCCACCGCGTTGGAACGCGATCCTTTCGGTGCCGAACACAGGAGGTCTTCTAGGTAACGAATGTCCATTCTTGCACTCCCTCTGCCAGCACGCACGGCAGCTGGAGGTAGTCGTCCTCCCGTCGCCACCGCCGCTGCTGCTGTTGTTGTTTGGTTGTCGCCATCACGACGGCCCCCGCCGGTGCCGGTAGCGCTAACAGCAGCGGCTGAAGCATCGTCACCCCCTCCTGCCGGACAGGCGCCGTCATCGAATCTCAAGCCCGAAGCCTTGCCAGGGTTGACGGATGCTTGTTCGCCACTCGCAGCGGTGCCAATAGGCTCTCCTCGTCTGTCATCGGGCCGTGAGATGGTCCCGCCGCCGCTGCTACCAGCGGGGGAGGGATGAGCCTTGAGGGCTGCTCCGCCGCAGTCCCCCGAGCGCGACATGGGAATAAGGACTGCTGTGGCATCGCCTTGACATAATAATCCGCTGCTGGTTGCTGTTGTCGGTGAAGCTGTTGTCGGCGACGCTGTCGCCGCTGGTGCCGCCGCTGCCGCCGCCGCCGCTGCTCTCGTCGTGTTCTCGGCGTTGACTCTGTCGGTCTCGCGTATTGTCCCCTCCGTCTCCGCGACGAGCTCTGCCATCACCGCCATGTGAAGACTACTGCGAATAGAGGCAATCTCGCGAAACTGCTGGGTAAACGTGCTGTCCTTACCTCCGCGTTGGAGGTTTGGAGGAGGCATCTCACATGATCCTTGTCTGCACTATCCGCTACAACGTCCATTTCCAGATTTCCAGTAGGATCGATCTACGGCGCCCTTGGGTACGTACGAGCCAATGGGAAGGTGTGATATATCGGAGCCCCCGGACATGATCTTGGATCTTCTTGCCAAAAGACTGTGACTATTATAGTCATAGTCTTTGGATCTTGCTTGGCGTCACGCACATGTTCAGTGTGGTCATATCTTTGCATGGACCTCTCTGTCTCTCTTCTCTGTCTCCGCTGGCGTGAATATTCTGTGCTCCTGGTACATGATCGATCGTGTACACAGCAGTATATATTGTAATGATTGCGAATGGCGCGGGGGAAACTGCATCGTCGGCTCACTGCCTATCTATCATTCGATCTATCTAGACTACTAGTACAAGTATCCAGGGAAGCTTTACAGGGCAGAAAAGATATGTCTAGGTCATGGTTCTGTGTCGCCGGTCAAAACGCGATTGATTGAAGTACGGCGGCTGGCTGTTTATCAACCACGTGTCTCTACAGCAGTAGTAGTAGATAAGATTGCCGCCTCGATCTATCTGAGGTTCAATGGACACGAGGAAGGTTGGTCAAGAAAGGGCAGATAGGCACAATGTTCGGGTGCAAACGCAAGGCAAAGTCGCCAGAGGCCCGCGGTCAGGTGTGAGAAGAGAAAAAAAATGCGGCGGTGCACTTGCGGTGATGCATTGCGGTGCAGTTTGTTGCTCTCATGGTGGACTGGATCATTGTGTTCTCTCTCGATGTCATCATGCGACGTTGCCTGTCACCGTTGGGGTCGTACCCGGTTGTGCGGGAACAGTGAGCATAGCATTGACTTCCATACAATCGATCAGAGACAGATGTGGTTACTGCTACTGTGAGTCCGGGGGAAACCCGAAGAGTACACCCTGCACTCATGCGGTCGCGCACACATAAAGTAGGCGTATATGCTACTAATTCGCGCGAAAGGTCGATGAAACTTGAGCCGAGGGGCCATCCATGATGTTTGATGCCTACCGCGAGGCGTACTCGAGATGTCGCTAGACGTGCGCCCGTGCGCCATAGATCGAGGTCGGCTTTTGAGACCCGGTCGATGGGCAACGGTGGGGGGATCGGAATTACATGACAACACTGCGACACAAAATGGTTTCTGCAGAAGAGGTGGGACTGGAGCTTCAGAACTTGTTCGTAAAAATGTGAGCGTGCCTCTACAGTAGTTCAATGGGATGCAGAGTACAGAACGCGCCCTCAGTCAAGAAAAATTCTGTTCAGAAAAAAAAGTCCAAATGTTTTCGAAAAATAAGAAAACAGGGCACAGAAACACAGCCCAATCTCGGCCACACCTATAAGAAACGTCCCAATAAGAAACATGATCGTGCGACACCCCCAAGACATAAGAAACAAGGGTAGGGGCGCGTCGAATAAGAAACGTCCCACTGCTGCTGCTGCCATGCTCCCACCCCATACCTAGCTCACATATTTTATTGGTAGGGGGGAGAGTGGTTATCTTCGCGGCGCCCCCCGCGCCCCAGCGCCGCCGCGGGCTGCCCTACCCACTGCCGCTGTACTGCTGTACTGCCACAACCCCCAATGTTCGCCACACCGAGCTGTCGGTTTAATGCTGCATGAAGGCTTGGTGTGTTGTTGTTTTCCTCACCAAAAATGAGAAACTACTTCTAAAAACTACGGAATAAGACGGATGCGACAGGGCAGGATTCGACAGCCCCAAGGAAAAAGAAATCCGTTGAAAGAAATTGGCCGACTTCGGCTGGTCCTTCTGCCCAAAATAAGAAATTGAGGCTCGACCCGAAATTTGACGTTTCTTATCTCCGGGCCCGTTCTGTATCCCTGTCCCCGTTCTGTACAACAACAGCAGCATCGAAGACGCACGTCTCCTTCGAGAGGAACCTGGATGACACCACTCCACTCAAATCAGTTCGGGCAGCAACCTCCCCCCCCCTAAATCACGTGCCGTCCCATGGATCCCGCCTCAAAGGGCCCGTTCAGGCGGCTGACCCGTTCCAGTGCCAAACGAATAGGATTTTATTGTGGTCTCAAACCCATTCCACCTGACCGCTATAGACTGTACACCTTTGAGCGAATATGTTTTCTGTCTCAAACGGCCTGGGACCGTCCAGCAACCACTATGTATTTCGCTAAGTGACCCGGGTTATTATGCCTCCTGACGGCCCGTTCTAAACGGAAACATGTCTTTTAAGACCAACCAGTCAAGTTATACTTCGTACCTGGTACAGTATACCCTAAGCATCAAACCAAAGCACACCTACATGACGTTTCGTTAACTGTCTCTGTCTTTCAAAGTATATACATCATGCTGAACATTACAACATTTCCGTAGTTCGGCCTCATTGTGGCCTACCTCAAACGGAAACTGATCTCAGAAGCGTTACCACATTCTTTTGATCCTTCGCATTCGTTTAATATTGTATTTTCTGAATTAGTAAAACTGTAACCTCGCAGCAGCAGCAGCAGCAGCAGCAGCAGAGGCGCCGCACAATCTGCCCCTGCCGGCGCAACGTTTCCCACACTGTCCTTCCCGTGCACCCCTCGCAGCACCGCCTGGCCACAGCGGTGTCAACATCGCTCCCACGAAGGGCCTGCACATCCTTCTCCACCACCGCAACTGCCGCCACGGCTGCGGTCGACCCATCCCCGGGTCAGAGCCACCCTTGCTACGGCGGTGGATCGATTGGCGGATCTTCTTGTGGAAGTGCGCCTCCGTCTTGTGGTGTAATATTAATATTTACTCCTGCTGCTGCAGCTCCGCGTCCTCGTAGTCGCTCGCCTGAACGAAAACAGTAGATAATTGTCATGATTCACCATCACCATCCATCATCATGACCATAGACTCGTCTCAAAGCCCAATACCAAAAAAGAGGGGAACTAGTACGCGGCACTTCGGGCTCCACCTGTCGTTGCCATTGTCGACGAGATGCGTTGGATTTGGCATTGGGCGTATTTGGATACAAGCATGTCAAGCATGTACCACACGTACCTCTAACCTCTCCTGCTCCAGAAGCGCCTGGTGCTGCTGTTCCTGCTCGAGCGTCACCGGAACCACCCGTCCCGACAGCTCCGTCGCTCCTCCTTCTCCCTTGCTGCAGAAGGCTTGCACCTGGACTCCGTCCCTATCTTTTGGCTCCCTCCACTCTAGCCCCAGGGCAGTGAATACATCTTCTTCTCGGAGGCAGCTGATGATGTAGAACACAGCGATATTCGCGGGGGGGGGGGAGGCTCCTTGTCAAGGGAAGACATGCATCTGTTGCTGGCTACATAGAGCTGCCAATTTCTTTGGAAAACGGGGCATCGTATTTCGTTTGCCACGCTCCTCTTTTGAGACGGACCGCCGTTCCTAACTCCTCTTTTGAAACTACAGTAGTAGAGCAACCACGTTCGGGCGCTTTGTATATTGAGGTCATCCCAAACGCCACGCTTTACCTCCCATTTTAATAGTGGTTGTCACTACGGTCAAATTCTCCAAACTCAACCCATCCATTTCCCTCATCTCAAGGGAGTCCCTTTCCGTTTCTAGCTCACATTTCTCAACGATGCGAGTTCTACTATTCCTCCGCGCTACTTCTGGTATACCTTCCCCTCCCTACTGGCAATCCAGGTCCCGCAGGTCCAATTCAGACTCAGATTTTTTAATATTTGTTGCCTCTTAGCAGCGTGCCATGTATCTCGAAGAGTTACTGTCTGCTCGTCTCTAAACTTTGCGCTACTTCTTCTCTTCTAATCCTTCCCTGTGGGCTTTTCGATAGACCCCTCTGTTTTTCGGGAAACGCTTCTTTTTGGTTTCCTCCGATCTCTTGTCACATTAACCCGATCATGCTATTCCATGTCATTCCACGATGTCCATTAGTTGCCTCCTTTTTGGTCTTGTCGACCTGACTGGCTGTCAGGCATTTCGTGATTCTGTACTTTGCCTGTCAAGCCCCCTTGCGCCTCTCCTTATCCTTGAGTGGATACTTTGGTAGTTTATATCCGGGGATGCTGTAGTACTCAATGCTTTCGAACTACGGTACCCTTGTACCCCTTTTGCCGCCGCCATCTGCAGTCCAATTCAACAGCATCTCCTACGTGCTCCAGAGCTCTGGCACAGCCATGTCCACGACAATGCATCGTTCAATCCTGGTGTCCAACGTACTGGTCTATGAAAATCGCACCGTTCTACAGCCAACGCGAGGGGAACTCTCCAAGAGTGCGGAAAGCACTCGGAAGGGGCGAGGGGTCATGGCTGACGCAGCAGCAGCGTGAGAAGCATGTCGGAGTTGACGCTAGGCGGGCGGCCGGTAGGGCAAGGACAAACGGCCTGAGAGAGGCGCGCTCTCACGGTCGGTCTACCATCTCGGCGAGACAGTGAAAGACAGCCGTACGTCAGCAGATCATGATAACCATGGGGCGGGAACACCCGAAACGAACGCGCCTTGCTTTCTCCCTGCGCTGCAACTGAAATTTCCACCAGCGCCTCAGCGGCAACTACGAAGCCGGCTTGCTTCTCCCTGTGCTGTAATTGAAAATGTTACCAGCGCTGCTGCAGCAACCACATAAACGCCGTACGCCATAAAATAGGCCGCACCTGTAGCTCGGGAACCTGTGCACCTCCTCGCCGTTGACCGTGTTGACCCTGCACAGCCCCTTGTCGCTAAGCTTGAGCCCCTTGATCTTGGCGAAGCTGCGCATGCTCCTGTTGAAGTGGCTCGACCCGGTGAAGTACAGCACCGCGAACGCGAACAACGATCTGCCCGGTAAAATAAGCATTCACAGGGAAGCAAAATAAGCATTCAGGGGGAAAGGGGGAGGAGCAGGGGGTAAGTTGCTCCAGGGGGGTATCCCCCAGAACCCTCGAGGCCCTAAGCAAACATCTGGTTTTCGGCAACCAGGCTGGCGTTTCAAAGCGCCCTCAGGCGTGCCGTAAACCGAGTAAAGACAAGCCACATCCGAAGAAACGTTTGAATGCCTGCGTGCTGGTGAAGGCGGGCTTCGGCACGTTGGGCTCAGACAATTGCTCGGATGACACAGTGCTACAGCTAGGGAGGGGCGGATAGGGAGACACATGGATCATGGTTACTCTGGCATTTGATCCCACCGGCTGGGCATTTTCTAATGAGACAGACTCATTTGCTAAGATGTGAAAGGCCTGTGTACTCTTGTCATTTCGTGTCCACTTGCCCATATCGCTATTATAGCATGTTCCACGGTCCCAAGTCAACTTTGTCTCGTTTGCCAGCCTGTTTCAGCAATAAAAACTCATGCACGTTTCTGCCCGCATTCTCTGTTAGAAGTGGATACACCGCGGCAGGCCCACAAGGGATGCTTCATTTCACAACGTCACACCACCACCACCGTCATCTTTAACGTAACCGCCACAATATAAGCAGTAACCACCGCCGTAGAGACAGCCACCCATCGGCCATCGGGAGCGAAGCCACCATAGCCGCCATCGAAAGTACATCAATCACACCACATATCAAGCGTCACCTGTGGCGGTGTGTTTGATGGCATCGACTCAGCTGTTTTCTGTTTTAGGCATAATAGCAATTCGTTTCCACCAAGCGACAATTCAATGCACGATGTACACCAAGGCACCTCACAACTAAACACGCACGTGGGATAGAACTTGATGTCCACCCTGCGGTGGAGCCTCCCCGTGCCGGGCAGCTTGCAGATGCCCATGAAGGACTGCGACTTCCCCGGCCTGTGGGGACCTCCGGCGAGGGTGAGCTTGTCCGTGATGAAACCCGTTTCCACCAGCCTCTTGATCAGGTCGTCAAACATGGGGGAGTCCTGGGAAGCAAACACACCGTCCGCAAAAGGGTTTCGTTGTGGGGACGAGAGGGAGAACGGTTCTGGGACAGGGCGACCGGGCAGAAAGATGAAGAGATTAAGGGGCACGAGGTGCGGTGAATCATTTCGACATCACCACACTGCTACGCTGACGGATTGTGTTTGCTTGACGCCCATCAATTGGAGAGGAAAGACTCCGACCGCGCAGATGGAAGCCTCCCTATAATTCTTCCCCGATCTAAAAAATTCGAGCGATTAGCGACTGAGCAAACCTCCCCAGTGCGGGACATCTCTCAACAGCAACGCACTGCACAACGTGCAACACTCCAAAGCATGATAAAGCCAACACCTTGCCAACGCTACAGACAACCATCGACGGTATTCTTCCACCCGAACTCCATGACTGCCCTTTCCACCGACATTTGTTTTGCTGACGACAGGTAATGGGGCCAGACTTGTCGTCGTCACACGAGCAAGTTATACGGTACAACTGTTGTCAGAAAAACAGCACACCACACCGCCATCGCCATCATCATCGAAATCGCCGTCACTGGAGGACGAGCTACGAACACGCCGGACACTTTTTCTCACCTCTTGTCCCTCGGGAGGGCGAATGAGCACGTCCACATCTCCGCAGTGGCTTTTCCCCCTTCGGTAGCTTCCACACGCCTGCAGGACAAACACACCAGGACAGAAGAATACAAATTGGGAACGCGCAGCAACAGACTCTCGCCACCAGCTACTACTGGTACCACCCCTTACTTTCCGCTCTCCTTTCTCTACCCCCCTTCCTTCGCAGCTCTCAGCTTAACGGTTTCCTCCAACCCACTGCTGCGTTTGATTCGCCCTTGCCAATACCCCATGCAACTATTGATACTGCTGCTCATAAACCAGAACCGTTCTGCAATCAAAACGCGGTGCAACGAGGCTCTCGCAACCCGAGACAATAATATCGAGAAATCCCGTCTGAGGGTGAGAAACTTGCCTGGCAGATGACTCCCGGGCAGATGCTCTGGGCAACCTTCGTTACCACCGCTTCAATCTCCGCGGCCTCGGACCGCGGCATGCGCTGCATTATGTCCTCGTGCCTGCGTCCGCCCAAGGAACACGAGGGCGGGCGGGGGTACGAACGAAAAGATGGCATAGCACGATGAGGGGACAGGATGGATGGATGGATGGATGGATGGGTGTAAAATCAAATATCTTCTCACGGGTTACAAAACGAAGAGAGTGATTCAGGCCTTGTAGATTGGTATACAGCAACGAGAAATAAAGAAGGCACAGGTGTGTTCCTGCGTACACAGAACAGGCAGATGGTATCGATACTTATCGCTAAAACAACGAATCCATGTCTTAGCCGTCATCCATGATTGCATCAGCTTTCAGGGTGTTCGGCGAGGTTATAGGCACCAATCGTAGTTCGCATTCGCTCCGATTTCTTCCTCGCGGGCAGTCTACGGTATGCAACATGTCTACCAAAAACGGGCTTGAAAGGGAAAGAACAGCTCTTCCCGTCTACGGCGGAACTCCGGAGGGTGCATCATGTGTTGTGTTCGAAGACCTTTGGCAACACCCGCCGGACAGCCAACGTGCAAACGGATACAACAGGAGACACGCGACGAGTCAAAACGTCACTGTCTTTTTATCCACTGCTTGGGACGACAAACGAAACATCATCATCGGATGGGAAAAATCGCTCTCACTCGGTCCTTCCCCCGCCCCCTTTCGAGGTACCCGGCACTACTGCGACTGAACAGGGTCCACACGTCCATTGACCGCTAGTCCATTGACCGCTAGTTTCTTTGGTGTAGTTCTCTTTGTCCAGTTGAACGAAGCCACACATATTTACACCTGCTGAGGCAGATCTGTGCCTGCTCGCTTAGAAGGTGCAGCCCCTTGGTCCTGAGGTCTTCGATCGAGCGCACGCCCTTGTCGTACAGCTGCTGCGCCTTGACGGCGCCCACCCAGCCGACCTCCTGGAGGATCTTGAGACACTTGAGCTTGGGGTCCGCCTCCAGCCCGTCAAGGCGATGCATCCTGCCCTCCTCGTAGAAGGTCGAGAGCTCCTTCATCACGCTATCCCCGAGACCCCTGACACGCTGGGGCTCGTGTTTCCTCAAGTCCTACGATGCGAAGAGAGCAAAACAAAAAAGAAAACAAAACAGAAATAACGATACGTTTTTCGACGGCCATGTAGTAGGTGAGTTCAGAGCGCCAGAGTCAGACGCTGAACAGCACCAGATGTACGAAGCGAACCTGCTGATATGTCACATACAAGAACGAGCAAAAAGTTCAAATCCAATCTTTTAATCGAAGAATGGCGTCAAACTCGTTCCGATCACAGCAATATGTGTGTCACGTGCCGTGGTTGCGTCCCCGTCTGCTGATGGTTCCGAGACTGGCAACATCACACACAACGCGGCCGGCAGAAACCCACAGCGACGACTTCATCGAGGGGTAATCGCCTTGGACGCACACAATTTCCTTCGGAGTTCCTGTCGTATCTTAATCGCTCACCTGTCTGGCGCGGCGGATGCTCACACGAACAACACATGAACAATAACGACCAATGGAAACAAAGACGGAGCAAGATACATCAACAATAACAACAACACACGACAAACAAAAAGCTCCCCCCGTCCTTGCATTGTCCCACGCGAATACAATTCTCTTTGAGATGCCTACACCTTCCATATATTTCATGACAGATTCTATTTCTCGCCATCTTCCTGATGAACGCGGTTCGACACTAGTTCGACAGGCGTTGTGCAACCACGGAAGGTCGCCTTCTGTCCGCCTTCTGTCTACCTAACCCATTTCACACCTTGAGCTGCTGGATGTTGGTGATTTGCACCCCAAGCCTCCTGAGCACCCCGGCGGCGTTCTTGAAACCTCTCTCTTTGAAAACGCTCCCGTCGCCGCCACGGACGGCGCACAGCTTGGCCAGGTCTTCCAGCATATTGGCAGCCTCACTGTTTGCTGCCTGTCGAAAGGAGGGAAGGTAAACACGAGAGACAAGCGTTCCGAGTGCAAAAGAGGACGACAACGCACAAGTTTGTACATCTATCAGCACCACATCACCGCCCATATATTTTTAGACTACTGTACAGTAGTACAACCTGGCAAGATGTAGCCTGGTGTGTTGCATCTACCAAGAGAGGGCACGCAAGCACGTTTAATTTCGGCTGTCTCACATGGCCGCGGGAGGTGGTGGTCGATTGGCAGTGAAACGTGTGCCTCTTTTTGCCGACGTCGGGATTCCTGGCGCCGAACCCACCCTTCACTGCCATCGACTCCAGATCTGCCACCGCGGTGCTTTGCCCTGCCGTCCCCTGCGTGCGGCCTCCTTGCACCTCGTTTCTCGCTGCTGCTAGGCGGGTGCTCGAAGCCAACCCGATGTGGCCTGCAGCAGCAGCAGCAGCAGCAGCAGTAGGAAGGGTGCCACCCCCTGCCGCAATTGATTCGTTGGCAGGTGTACTCGATCTCTGCTGCTGCCGTGCCGCCGCTGCCGCTGATGCTGCTACCGGTGCTGCTGAGCGGTGTGGCGGCGGGATCAATCGGTACGCGTCAGTGGCCACCACCGCGGAGCGCCTCAAGCACTCGCTCATCCACTCGTTGCTCACGACAGGCACCCCCTCGGGCATCATGCCACTCTTTAGTCCCACCCTCCCGCCGCTCACGGCACTGTCAAGGTCATCGACGCCACCCCACCCGCTGAAGTAGTTGTCGAGCTTCTCCCAGGAGGCGGCCAGCGAAGCGTCCGCCACAATGTGGGTCGTATCGCCCGGCGTGAAGCGCGTCGACACGTACCCTCCGCCGTCGCAGACACCCCGATTGAAAGTCTTGATCGTGTTGCTGGTCACCGAACCCAGGTGCACCACGCAAAGGGACAGTCCAGAGAACGGCCCAGGTACCGCGCCTGTTCCTTGCCGCGGCTTCTTGTGGATCTGGGTTCTGCTCGCCTCGCCCTTGCAACCCCCACGGCGCGGGTGGAATTTTCGTTTCGGATTCGGCAGCACCCCGCCAGCAGCGTTGGAACGCGATCCTTTCGGTCCCAATCGCAAGATGTCTTCCAGAAACCGAACGCCCGTTTTGGCATCGCCTCCTTTAGCGCCTGCTGAAGCGAGGGCTGATGGGCTTTCCGTAGACACTGATGCCGCTGCTGCTGTGGGAGGTGTCGGTCCTTGGTCATCGCCATCACGACGACCCCCGGAGGTGCTAGCAACACCCGAGGCTTGCTCTCCCCCCGGACCGCCGCCGCTATCAACTCTTAAACCGAAAGCCTTGTCCGGGTTGGCGGATGCTTGTTTAACACACGCAGTGGTGCTAAGAGGCTCTCCCTGCCTGTCACAGGGCCGTGAGACAGCCCGGCTGCCACTGCTACCGGAGGATGACGAGGCGGAACGGGTCCTGCGGGCTGTTCCGTCGCATCCCAGCCTGCACGACACCGAGATCGAGTCTTTAGAACCGTACCCATCACCATCGCTGTCGCTACCAGGAAAAATGCAGCTGCTGTCCGTTTTGCCGTCCAACGCTGCAGCAGCCGCGGTCGCCGATCTCCTCTTGTTTTCGGCGTTGACCCTGTAGGTCTCGCGTCGCCTCTCTTCGGTCTGCTGAGCGAGCTCTTCGGCGACTGCCGTTCGAAGAGCAGTGCGAATTGCATCAATCTTGCGAAACCGCTGGGTGAACAGGTTGTGCTTGCCTTGGCGATAGACGCTCGGAGAGGGTGCCATTGCTGCTGTCAGCTTCACGATCGCACCAAGGTCGGTTCCAACAATGAGGAGCAGCGAATTCGCAACTCAAACGTCCAAAATAGATCGCAATTTAGGGTAGCACCGCCAATTTTTCTGCGTGGGAAACTGCGATGAACCTAACAGTTGTTTGCAGAAACCTGTCTACGAGAGGCGCGGTGGGCAGTCCAGTTACTGAACCTTTCATTTTGCCGCCTCTCAGCTGCCGCCACTGCTGTGTCATCGGGGTCTGTTGTGTGTTGTGTACCGCCTGCATCTGCGACAGGACACCTGCGGAATCGCGGAATCGCACGCTAAACACGCCGCATAAAAAAACGCTTCCAACGGGAGCGTATCCCCTGTTGAAACCCCTAAAAAAATGCGGTGGGATATTGTAGGCAAAGATAGCACGATCTCACAGCCTCGCAACCTCGCGACTAGCTAGATTCGTCACGAACGAGGGCGAAGGAGGGGTGACGGTGTCCAGATTTCCAAGGCGATGTGTGGAATATATGTCATAAGCATCTACTGACTTTGTTTCTACGTTGATTCGTGTCGATAGGGCGAACATCGGAGGTTATCGAAAGGGTACACCACCACTGCTGTACCTACCAACCACAGCTAGTATTTTAGCTTCAACTCCGGGGGCGAGGGCTTCGAGCACCTTCCAACATCTACCCGAGATCGCCAGGTTGTAACCCAACATCGCTACTTACACATTTTCCATTTAGCATTGCCATCCATCGAAAAGGTTTGAGACGGTTAATTGTGTGGTTGGATATACTTTTCTGTCGGTCGCACAGGTTTCAGGAAATTATATCAACAACAAACAGGAGCGAAAGGTGATCGATCGTGTACACTAAGACACTAAGCATATGCATAGCAACATTCAAATTGAGTGCTGGTGTTGGGGCCATGCGAGCGCCATGTGTGCGGTTGCACACACGCTGCGGTCCGAACAAATATCTATAACATCTGTGGCAATTCGGCGCAACACGCAGGCACTATGTACACAGCTCAAATATCAGTAGACTATCGGTTGGCTTGTTGCAGAAGAAATGGATACTGGCAAACATGGGTCCCAACCATGGCCGGTGGTTCAGTAGGTGACCTTGCTTCTGAAGCTTGGACGTGGATTCGAATCTCGGTACAGTCACACGAACTGAAGCTTTTCTCACAATAAATGTCCCCCAACAGCGTGGGAAAGCGATACTTTTGTGTGTACGAAAGAAAAAAGGGGTAAGAAAAAATCGACGTCATTCATGGTGGACGAGGGAAGGGATGGCTGAATCCTTCTTCTCGCGACAAGTTTCAAGGCAAGCACCGCAGAAGGAAGGCGGAGAAAACAACCCCTGTGTGGCCTTCATCCCTCCGGTGTGGCCCGGGTTAGTGCGTCCTGAATCGCTCTGAAAAGTGCAAGGGCCGACATCCAGAATAAATGAGACCACAACACAACAATAGTGTGTTGGTGGTGTGACAATCTCTCTTGTTGCAACCGTCCCCATAACGAGTCGTACCCCGTGTTTTTCATGGAATTGATCAGTTGCTACCAGATGTAGCAGAGCCCGGGGGGGGGGGCGGGGGATCGTGGGGTGTCACAGCCTTCCAGTGCGACCAATGACACCAACCACCTGCTTCATTCACCTCGGCACCCACCCGGGCGCCTCCCACCCCACAGCAGCGAAGCCTCAACGCCGACAACAAATAAGTGTGCTTCCCAGCGTCGAAAACTCCCGTCTACTGGGGTATTGGTAGGGGTGCTCGTCAGTGACTTTTGAATCGCGGGGGTACTGCTCTGCTCGCACACTACACGAAGGGAGGCCCTTTCTTGCTGTCTTTTGTCGCTGAGGTCTCGTCTCATTGGCGAGTCAGCGACCCCGACTCCGTGGACACTGCTGTGTCCCCCCCCGTCCCTGCCCCGTCACTCTAGACAACACAACTGCTGCCTGCCGTGCAGAGTCGTAGAGATGAGATGCCACCAGCGGGTGCCATCCTCCCGTAGCAGCGGTCTCGGGGACCTAACTGCAAATGAACTGCAATACACAGCGAGCGACAAATTATTGGTCTTCTCGGCAAGGTGGATGGCACTCACGAGGGCCTCCCGCAGAGCTCTTGCAGTATTCACCTATGCTCATTCTTGAATCAGCACTCCAGCACCGTTATCCGATCAAGATCAGATCATCATTCGTTCGCTACACCTCTTAATATTTTTTTATCTCTTCCGATGAGAACGCCTGGAGGAACGACCACACGCTTGAACCTAACTCCGGAATAAAAATACTGGGAACGAAAGCTTCTTGATCCTTGATCTGATCCAGCTCATACGCCATAGTATTGTCGAATTCTTACATTCTCACGTGTACGGGGACAATAGTAGCGCAACCACACCGAGTCCTTCCTCTTGGTCCGTTCAACCTTAAATCTCCGACAAAGAGTTTCCAATTCCCAGGCAAGGTTTTTAGTTCTTTTGCAACTTGATCCGTTCAACTTTCAATCTCCAACAAAATGAATCGCGATTGCCTGGCAAGGCATTACGTCCTTTTTCATTGCAACTCGGTCCGTCCAACCTTAAAATCTCCGACAAAATGATTCCCGATTCCCTGGCAAGGTTCAAGCCGTTTCCCATTGCAACCCTGGCCCCAGACGCGTTTCCGGCTGCCGTATTTACAGGCACGCGGGAGCTTTTCGCATCTGAAAAAAAGCAGGGAACACGACGCACTCTAATTTTGCACAGCTATGCCTGGGCATGACAACCGAGAAAAGAGGCGCCAATAACAGCAGTAAAAATCACCCCGCAAACGCTTGTAGACACCAACCCCCCTGGCCCCCCGGCGCCCCCTGCACAAGCAACATAACTTTTGATGAGTACGCTCATCGACCCCAAAATTTCCAAAAGCCAACCCTCCGAAACGCTTAACATCCAAGCACGATGATTGCTCCGGAAACGTCTTACTTTTAACGGCAGGTAGAGAGGGGAGACCAGGCGGGACGACTGGTCCTTCACAACCTGTTTTCCGGGGTCCCTTCGCGAACACGGCACGACCAAGCGGAACCATTTTCGAGAGAAGAGGGCTGCTGCCCCGGTATCTCCCTCCGCAGGTCAGCGTACGAGTAGCCATCTCGGGCAGTCTGGTGACGATTCGCCGGGTGGGTGCACGGAGTCGGCGATCGGCCCAAACGTACGTGCGGATCGAACGCACACGCGTTTTCTTGGCTCAAAACAAGGCACCGCACGCACAGCGGAAACGTCGTAAACTTGGCCAATCAACTCGTTCTTCTTTCTTGAGCCGGCATGCGAAAAAGACCCCCGGCTATTGGACATGTATGATAGCAGAGAACGCACCACCCCGCCCCGACGTGTAAGAAAATCAGATCGGGCATTGACCTGGGCAGACGCCGAGCTTTCCTTTTGCAACGGCACCAGCAGCAGCTCTGTAGCCATCACCGTTACAATAATGCTCTGTCCGCTGTGTGAACAGCATCGGCTGCAGTGGTGCACACACGACCAATCTTCTAAGCAGACAATGTACATTCTCATCAATACAACCCTCCCCCCCCCCCCCCCCTGCTCTCGACATTCAAGAAATGGGAGTAGCTCCCAAGGCGCTGGAGGTGGCTCTACTAGTACCAGGTGACAACGACGGTATGATGTGGGGCCAACAGTCATCTCGTGACCAAGGCAAGCACCAACTGGATACGTTGTGCTCCCAGAAATCGAAAGCACATACACACATGATCCGGAGCTGCTCCCGAGGCATCAACCCACGACGACGAACGCAGTTCCGCTCGGCCCAACCGATTCGTAGAACAACTCAACACGGCAAGGGGGCGGCATGCTTCCCGTCCACCGCATTTGTGGCCGTTTCACCGTCTCCCTCATCCCTCATCCCCTGCGACGCCCTCCTCATCCCCGTCCTTGGAACCAGCACCAGCGGCATCCTCCTCGTCTTCGACCTCGCCCCCGTTGGAGCAAGCACCGGCGCCGCTCGCACCGGCGGCGCCACCCCCGCCCCCCCACCTCCCGTGCCTGCCCCCCTCCTCCCCGATCCTCTTCTTCTTGATCGGGTTCGGGTTCTCGCACAGGTTCGCCACCCGATGGCGCTTGAGGAACCGGTGACACCACGAGCTCATCTTGGCCTCGTACCTCTTGAAGGCCACGGGGTAGTCGTCTCCGTCGCGCTCCCAAGACGGGACCACCCCGAACACGTCCGGCATGAGCTCCTGCGCCTTGTCCTTGACCGCGCGGGAAGACACCTTCTTCGACCCCGAGGCCGCCGCCGCCGCCGCCGCCGCCTGAGCCACCCCGTTGGAGAACGAACAAGACGATGACTCCCGCTGGATGAAGGCGAGCAGCTCCTCCTCGATCTTATGTGTAGCCGGTACCTGTTTGTTTTGTTTTAAGTGGGTGGGTGATGGGAGGGGGGGAGGGGGGGGGGCGCGTGAGTACCATGTCGAAAATATATGGAAGGGGAAGAATGAGACAAGGGAGATGATGCACACAAACGCAAAAAATGAGGTTTTATCTTCTTGTGGTTGTTGTGAACACTACCTTGAAATCGTGTGTGATGGAGTGATGGAGGACACCCACCCGCCTAGTAAAGACGGTGGACTTTGGTCCAATCTCGCCGGCCAGAATGCTTGCAACTGTGTTCCACGCGCGCACGCAACCCTCACGGCCAAGAGACGCAATTCATGTTCCGGGTCTCGATGCCCTGTAGTGCCCGGGGGCCAACCAAGACGGGGGTGACCACGGCACAGTAGTAGTGCCACACAAGCCCACACAAAAGCGAAGACTCAACGGGTTAGACTAGAATCTCTTGGCAATTGGAATATGTTGGCCAAAGGCTGGAACTCGCTTGTTGTCCACCATCGTTTACTTGGACAAAAAACACACGGTGCAGCAGAAGCGCCTGAGGTTCCGGTGAGGTGGGTTCGGTGGCGTGGAATTTTCCACGGTGGCGTGGAATTATCCACCCAGAAACTTCTCGGCAATGCGATACTTCCCTTCCTTGCGGGTATGGCGAGGTATGGTGTCTGGTCGAGGACACCTTCTAGCGCAAGAGCATCACTTCATCGTTTGACACCATCGTCCGACCGTACGGCTGTCGAACCCCGGCCTTGTCGACAGATTTGGCCGGGGGACGCGATCATAGGTGGGACGCCGCAGCCATGCTATGCATACGATCAAAAGCGCTTCACGGAAGCAAATACAGGAGATGCTATAGATAATGCATACATGTGTCGACACCTTTAGTGTAGACTCATCACCGCGCTAGGAAAACCCGCGGGTGTCGTCTCTTGCTCGCCAGACTCCAAATCACACAATGGGTCGTCAAGAATCGGACCCCCTAATCACGCAAATTGGTCGTCAAGAACCAAAAAATAAGCCCTCCTCACCCGCCCATTCGACATGGACTTCTTCCTGCGAACGTGGCGGGACACCTTCTCCCCGCCGTCCGTCTGCGCCCGCATCAGCTCCGCCTCCATCTCCGGCAGCCGCCTCATCCACTCCCGCACGCTCTGCGACTCGGGGATGTCGAGCTGCGCCGCGGCGTAGCGCGCCCCGACCGTGCCACCGCGTGCCTGACCCTTGGGGTCGGGGGAAAGGGCGTATCTCGCTGCCTTCACCTGAGCCCACGTGGTTCGGGGGGGGAAAGGGGGGGGGGGGGTAGTTGAAGACGGAGATGGGGTGGGGCGGTTTGCTTGGTACGAAAAAGGGTAGTTGAAGACGGAGAGAGGGTCGGCGGTTAGCTTGGTACATGAATACCCATGGGCCAAATGATTCAGTCCAAGAAAGAAGGGAGTCCGCGGCGATACAACTACACAACGTGGCGGCGACAGCACCTACTGGCTGTTTTGGGCGGCAGACGAAAGAAAAAATCTACCTCGTTTTCGGCATTGCTCCTGCGGAAACAAAAAAAGAAGCCAGTAGATACCCCATACGCAACCCTTTGCCACGTTCACCTTGAAATCTAAGGAGTAGCGCTTGCGGATTTTCCCGCCCCCGTGCTTTTCGATCTCGAAGTTGGGCGGTTGCAGCTGTAGCTTCCTCTGCTTCTGATTTTGATTCTTGCGTGGTGTGGTCGCCGTTTTTGCTGCTGCCGCTGCTTGGCGCTGCTGCAGCTGCTTTTTCGGCGACTGCCTTTTTCGCTTCGCCGACTGCGGGGGCTCATCCGGTGGCGGCGGCGGAAGAAGGGCCGTGGCCGGAGATATTTCTTCTGTTTCTCCAGCGTCCCTCAATTCGTCCTCCTCCTCCTGTTCCACCGCTGCCACCGCCGGTTCCCTCTCCTCCCCTTCCCGTTCCTCCTCTTCCTCCTCCTGGCTCATTCTCCCGCGCTTGCTCTTGTCCTCGCCAGGCTCCGATTCCGTGCGCAGCATGTCCAGCGCCTTTCTCTTGTCGGCCCGAAGCCGCCGCGGGCGTTGCACCCTCTGCTGCTGATGCTGCTGCCGCTGCTTTCCTTTCCTCCCCTCCTGCTTCGCGCCTTGCCCCCGCTCCTCCGTGCCCACCGCCTGCTGCGCATCACCAGCGCCCACCAGCAGCAGCTCCGCCGCTGCCGCCGCAAGCCCGCTTCGGCTCTGCGCCGGCGCGCCTTCGGATGGGCCGGCGGATGAGGAAGACAGCGGTGGTGGCAGAGTACTACTGTCACCACTGCTGCTTTCGCCGGAGGAGGGCCTGGCGGCGGCTTCCGCGGCGACACCTGGTGCCGCCGCCACTACCTTAGCATTCGAGGAGGAGGACGAGGACGCGGCACTACTGACAAGAGCGGCAGCACCAGCACCGCTACCGGCCCCATCACTCAGCTCGACGCCGGGCGCACCTGTCCCCTCCACCGTGGCCGCTCCAGGTGCCAGTGGTGCCACTGCTGCCGGTGTAACGGCGGTAACAGCGGCGGCGCTAGAGTCGGCACGAGCGGCCAGGCTGGCATCATCGCCACGTTCACCAGGGGTGTTTGTGGGCGCCGTCGTCCCGCCGCCGGCTCCGCTCGCTGCCGGTGTCATTAGTGTGGTCGCTACCGGAGGAGGTACGGCAGGCGTCGTCGTCGTTGGTGCGGGACTGATTCCTCCTGTCGTCACCGCTGCCGCAGGAACGGGAGTCGGGCAGCCGCCTCCTTCGCTAGTGGTAGGGGTAACGGTCGTCGTTTCTGCGGGGGGCGCCGCAGGTGTGGCTGCAGTTGAGGTACTGATTCCCGCCTCCGCCGCCGGCGGCGCAGCAGCAGCCGGTGCGGCAGGAACAGCAGCAGTGGAACCGGCAGCGGTGCTTGTGGTCGTCACGTCCGTGTTTGCCACCGCCGTCGCGGATTCCAAACCGGCTGTCGGTGGTGATCCTGCTGCCTTTTCTGCAGCAGCGGTACCGTCGTCGGCGGAGTCGCCTCCGCCCCTGTTGCCCAGTTCGTGCGACGGAGCAGCAGCAACAGCAGCATCAGCGACGGCGACATTATCACCGCAAGACGGGCTTCTCGGCGCCGCGCTCTCTGCCGGAGCGGCGCCACCGTCTGCAGTAGCCCCCACAAGGAGCGGAGTGATGAACGGCATGGTGGTAATGATGTTGTGGGTCTGGATCTCCGGGGCGTTCGAAAGCTCCACCACGCCTGTGTCTTGCGGGGTCACCAAACAGGCCGAAGACGCCGCGGTTGTTGTTGCCGCTGCTGGTGCCGCTGGCCCGGCGGTTGACGCCGCGGGCGCCGGCGATAGAGGAGCTAGTCCTGGCGGCGCTAGTCCTGGCGGAGCTGCCGTGGCGGACTCCACCGCCTGTCCCAGCACATCAAGACCACCGGCGGCACTGCTGCTGCTCGCACTCGCATCAGCGGTGCCCGCCGGGATCGATTTGCCGCCATCGTCATCACCGTTTACGTTCATAACCCATACACTTTTCTCAGTGGACCAGGATATCCTTCTCGTGGGCTAACTCCTACTCTCACCCGTCGTCCTGCTGCTGTGTGCCTCTGCAGTGTGTGTGTGTGCTTGCCGCAGGTACGTCCACGGATTCTGTCTCGCTGTGCTCGGTGCACGGAGACAGTTGTGTGGGGGTGTGGGGTAGGCAGGTATGGGCGGGGGATGAATCAGGGTCCGGAGCCCCCCTGAGCATGTTTTTGTGCCGCCGCCCACGCTTGGTTGGCGTGTTTGATGACACAGAGATGTGCATGGTGCCAACATCCTGGTGCGCTACGACCGACAGCCCGGTTGAATAGAGATGTACTTGCGCCTTGGGGCTCTCACTAGCGCCGGGTGGTTGGTGGCGACGTGCCCGGCCTTCGTATCACACCAAAGACCAACGTGGAAGCCAATCTCAGGTATCCATCATGTGCACGTCGGATGTAGCTACAGCAGGGTACAGCAGTCGGTATGTAGCTGGGCAGTAGTACGAAGACAGCAGTAGTCCAGGAATTGATCTGGGCGTGCCAACGCACAGCAGCCACTGCTCCGTGCTGCCCTCTACTGGTACAGATGTCAACGTTGGGAGTCCCGCAGCCGGAAGGTCGTTTTCGAGTTTTTGGCCTCCAAACATCTTGGATTTAGACTACTGTTTGGACACAGTACCTACAGCAGCATGTCTGCGGGTTATACGACAGCATTTTTTTTATAATATCAGTGACACCAAAACCAGACGTTTGCTGGGAAGGGGCTGACCCACTCGGTCAGTGCTGGCTAGGTGGTCTGTGGATGAGCCAGTTTTTAGAAAATTACATAAAGCACGGAAGACTACAGCAGTATGAACCCGTTCGAGATACGCTGAAGTCTTTGAGCCAGTTTCAGGAATAAGCATGGTTGCTGTTGGTAATCTCGATAAAGAGCTGCATGATCCCATGCATAGAAACACAAAGAGCCACGTGTCCAGAAGAAAGCGGAGTATTTGAAAACAAAACTCGAAAATAGATTAAGACCACCAAGTAGGCACCAAGTTAAATGGAGACAGCTCATTGGCGGACGCCACGTTAAATCTGTCCCGGTGGGACGAACATACACACGTTCGGCGAAGCGTGAGGGAGAAAGATGAGCAGATTCCAATGGAACTGAGAAAGCACCGTGCATACAAACACAAGGTGACGGTTGCGTAATGGGATGACGATGTACACACAGACGTTCGTCGTCTCGCTAGATAGCGTAGGACTACTTTTTGTATCGTCCTTTCATCACGTGTATGGTAAGCCGGTTTCCGCGGTCGATGGAAACCTAGTAGAGAAGCACAGGCACACTTAGCGTGTGCACACTTAGCGTGTGCACGCCTTCCCCGCTCAGACAGAACTATAGTATATCCCCCGTGACCAAGCGTTGCCACACACGGCTGGCCAATCCAAGAGGATCCGGAAAGTCCAGTCCGCAGATGCTTTCAAATAGTATATACTCCGCGTAACTACTGCTGTCCCGCCGCCGTTACCCAACCTCTCCGTAAAAAAAACACGTTCACCAGTGAACGCCAAATCTTCCGCTTCCGAGACAAAGCCGCGGCAGCAATGGACGGCTGCGCCTGCCGTCGGGCCGCGGGGACGGCGGGAGCTGCGTCGCGCCGCCCAGCAGCGGGAAGAACCGGGTTCGGCGACGGCGGAGGTGGAGGCCGTCGGGGACGTGCGGCGGGTCTATGAGACGTGGCGATGGCGGGGCCACAATATCAACTACAGAGTAGAAGGTGGGTCACGAGCCCCGCACCCCGGAAGTGCTGGTCGTTTTCGCAGGAGGCGAGTTGCAAGTGCCGATGTTTTGGTTTGGGAAGGGTCTGGGTGGGAATTTACGTGTCCGCGTAAATTGGTGTTCACTTGCGTATAATATTTTCAACCGTTGTGGTATGCTCGGATAGAGGGGTGCGTTTCGCAGTCGGACGGCACACGCTTCGACTCAGCCTCCTAGTCTGATCGCCGGGATCTGCTTTCCGGTTGGCTGTTACGCCAGCTCTAATTTTCTCTGTTGTGTCTTTTCTGGCTTCAGTTTTTTTTTTGTTTCGTCTGAGAACCTCTTGATGGTTCATCCTGGTTGTTCTTTGTACCTTGCTCGCGATAGCCTGTGATTGCGGAACGCAAGATCTGCCTTGGATGAACACGAAATAATTAAAGAGATGTGAGAGTTTGCAAGGTGAAGAAAACAACCACGCGACGACGACGAAAACCCTTAGGACGCCGTTCGTCCGTCAGCCGATACATAACTTCAGGCCGTGACTGCTGTAGCAACAACAAACGACGAGAGGATAGAACGATTCTCGTTCGCGCAAGTAGTGCTGCCCGTTGCACCCTAAAGGCAGCCTGAAATGAAGTCTGATCGGCGAGCAAATTCTTTTCGGGAAGCGAATTCTTATCGGAGAGAAAATTGTCCGCTTTTGTTTCATTCTCGAAGGAGCCGAGGACGCCCCTCCTATTCTCCTGATTCACGGTTTCGGCGCGTCAGTCGGCCACTTCCGGAAGAACATCCCCACCCTCGTGGGCGAGGGTTATCGAGTTTACGCGATCGATCTCCTCGGCTTCGGCGCGAGCGACAAGCCAAAGGACGTGGAGGTACATTTTTTCACCGCTTTTTTTTTTATGGCGTTTGTTTTCAAAGGGAGAAACGTGTTTTGTTGGGGTAGTTGTTGTGGAGGAACGATGAGATCAATGTGATGGTACTGTGTAGGTTGTGGAAAATGAAGACACGTTGTGCTCGGAAGCGAAGGCTTTTCTCCGAGGCGGGGAAGTAAATTTTCCATCCCCTCATTTTCCCCTTCGCCCGTGTGGGCATTCATCACTCCATCGTCATCGCGCTCTTCGTAAAAGACCTCGAAGGAGCACGACAATACGTGGAGAGATCTAACGCATTGCCGTAGTCTTGAAGCGATGATCAGTTTATATAAATACGCTATCGCTTTTCGTTTCGTTTAACATATGTAGTTGCACATATATCCGGCGAAGTTGTCGCAAGGCGACCTCGACATCACGCGGATCTCACGCGTAGACATGGGCCTGGCATATGCTAGCTGCACACTCACATAGCGGCAAGAGTCTGTTGGAACCAGCGCACCCATTCATATAAGGTTCCTTAAGTCTGCTTCAATGCAAACGAACTACCTATTTACCGATGTGCACCTACTTCTCTCTCTGCGGGCATGTCCCGCGTTGTTCGTGAAATCAGTTATGAAGGCCGCGGCGCTCGACCATCTCTTGTTGGTTGTTGTGTGTGTGGTTGACGACACAGTTCTCTCTGGAGCTTTGGCAGGAAATGCTGACCGATTTCATCAGCGACAAGTCTAGGGGCGCGTCGGAGCAGTGGGTCGTGATGGGGAACTCGATCGGCGGTCTTCTGACGCTAATGCTCACCGAGGGGCTGCAGGAAGCGCGAAAGGTGCGTGTGGTGTGTGGTGGCAGGCAGTAACGCCTGATGGCTTAGCTGGAAACCTATCGCATGACAGGCGTTACAAAGGCCAGATAATTTAGCTGGAAAACTATCGCACGACAGACGTTTCAAACCCCAAATAGTTTAGATGGAAACCTACGCATGGTAATTGTTACATCCATGTTCTTTCTCATGCGCAAGAAGCAAGGCAGTGGGGTTGGGTGGGCTCTCCGATATGACGTCGTCTTGTACCTATTGAAATGGACTGGGTACATGGCGTCGAGTACGTTGTCGTTGAATCATTGCTTTCGCTTTTGGTTGAGTTTGCAACAAGAAAAGTCGTAGGGTTGGCAGTGGTACTCAGAGCAAGGTTTCCAATCGATGCTGACCGAGAGAGAGAGATGGAGAGTGATCAAACGAGTTCCACAGAACCAATCGCCCTGGGAAAGCAACTGGCACGCAGCCGCAGAGAAATCATGGAGACATCTTAGTTTTTTTCCTTCAGATCAGCATCTGTCAACCGGTGCGAGGCACACCTTCCGTGTCATTCTCCAAACCGGCAGGAGAGCGATAGCAAATATACCGATTAAGTCGCACGAAATCTGGAAGACTAGGTCAGTGTATGGTGCCCACCTTACCAGTGGGTCTGGGTGGGGAACGGGAAATGGAACAACGTGCTGGGGCTTAGGACAGAGGCCGAGAACGGCACCGATGGTGTTGGTATTGCAATCAATATGCTGTTGGGGGGATGGTGTGTTTGCCTTGGTGTCATGTCCATGGGGACCGGTGTTGTGGGTATTGATGCCTCTCCTTGGAGCCGTTTTCATGGTGTTTGGTGTTGGCAGGTTGCCTGGTGCTCTATGGCCGAGGTTTCACCTGGGTTGTTGCTGTTGACACGTGCCGGGGAATAACGACACGACCGGCGAGACAGGAGCGATTGTCTTCTCGCTCATCCTGTAAAAACCGGGACTCGTCGTTGTTGTTCAAGGGGGCGTGTGTCATTTTATTGTGGCCAACTCCGAAGTGGTGTGTGCATTACCCCCGATAACCACTGCTGTACTCGCACATCTACATATACATATATCGGCTGCAGGTTCAATATGCGTGACGCATGTTGCATCAGCTCTACGAATCGACGCTGTACCCTGCGGGGTGTAACACTGCTTATTAACCTTGGTCTTGATCCGTCTGGGGTTGTCTCGATCCGCACCTGTTACACACTGGGATGCCCTCAACCCCCCCCCCCCCCCTCCCTGCCTTGTCTTCATGTCTCCTTAAGGTCCGTGGCTCGGTCCTCTTTAACACCGCCGGGGGCCTGGTGAGCTTCCGCAAGTCGGAGCTCCCGTTCTACTTGCTTCCGGTCATGTGGTTCTTCAACAACGTGGTGGGTGCGTGGTGGGCGCTTTCTTGTTATATTTTCTGGCGCGAAGAATGGATCTTTGGTATTTTTCTGCCTCCTATGCGTGCTCAAAAACACATTCCTGCTTTATTGCTTCTGGTTTGATGTCGTTGAGTCCATCTACATCACGGTGGGCTGCGGCCGTTGCCGTTGGTGGGATTAGGATGTCGTGGCTGCTTTGCGTTGATCAGCCCTGGTTCTGGTCGTTGCATGGCACCGATGTACCGATCGCCGGGTGGCATCTCTTTCGGCCCCTGAATGTCCGGGGCACCGGGGGGGGGGGGGGGGGGGCCCCCTTAAATTGGGGATGCCCCCCCGGTTAAACCCTTGAGAACCCGTCCCCCAAAGGACGGAACCTTTTTCCCCCCGGGCCCAACCCCAAAGGGAAAACTTTTCTTCCTACTTTTGAAAAGGGGGGGGGGGGTTTTATTTAAGGACCTTTCCCCAGGGCGGGCCCCACCCCTGGGGTTTATTTTTTTCCCTGCCCCGGGGGGGCAACCCCAAATTTTGTGGGAACTGGCGTTATTTTTTGGTCCCCCTTTTCGGGAAATATTTTTTCGTTTCCTGTAAAAAGGTTGGGCCCTTTTTCC